CCCAAAATCTCCCCAAAAATCCTCCCCCAGAGCCCAAACCTCCCTAAATCCCCACAAGTCCCGAAGCAAAATCCAGCCCCAGACTCCAAAATCCATCCCCAAAATCCAGACCCCAAATCACCCCAAAATCCCCCCAAAATTCCCCCCAAAATCCATCCCCAGCCCCCAGAATCCCCAAATTCAGCCCCAGACTCCAAATTCCCCCAAAATCCAGTCCCAGGCCCCAAAATCCCCACATCCATCCCCAAAATCCAGCCCCAGACCCAAAATCCATTCCCAGACCCCAAATCCCCCCCAAATGCCCCAAAATCCCCCCAAATCTCCCCAAAATTCCCCTTAATTTCCCTTTGAGTTGACCATGATGGGTTGACCATGGTTGGGTTGACCATGATGGGTTGACCATGATAGGTTGATCATGGTTGGGTTGACCATGATGAGTTGACCATGGTTGGGTTGACCATGATGGCTTGACCTTCATGAGTTGACTACGATGGCTTGACCGTGGTTGCCTTGATTGTGTTGGGTTGACCATGATTGGGTTGACCATAGTTGAGTTGACCATAGTTGAGTTGACCATAGTTGGGTTGACCGTGGTTGGGTTGACCGTGGTTGGGTTGACCATGATGAGTTGACCATCATAGGTTGACCATGGTTGGGTTGACCATGATGAGTTGACCATGGTTGGGTTGACCATGATGGCTTGACCTTCATGAGTTGACTACGATGGCTTGACCGTGGTTGCCTTGATTGTGTTGGGTTGACCATGATTGGGTTGACCATAGTTGAGTTGACCATAGTTGGGTTGACCGTGGTTGGGTTGACCGTGGTTGGGTTGACCATGATGAGTTGACCATCATAGGTTGACCATGGTTGGGTTGACCATGATGAGTTGACCATCATAGGTTGACCATGGTTGGGTTGACCATGATGAGTTGACCATGGTTGGGTTGACCACGGTTGGGTTGACCGTGGTTGGGTTGACCATGATGGGTCGACCATGATGGGTTGACCATAGTTGGGTTGACCATCATAGATTGATCATGGTTGCATTGATCACGGTTGGGTTGACCGTGGTTGGGTTGACCATCATAGGTTGACCATGGTTGGGTTGTCCCTCATAGGTTGATCATGGTTGGGTTGACTACAGTTGGGTTGACCATGATGGGTTGACCATGGTTGGGTTGACCATCATAGGTTGATCGTGGTTGGGTTGACCATAGTTGGGTTGATCATGGTTGGGTTGACCATGGTTGGGTTGATCATGGTTGGGTTGACCATCATAGGTTGATCATGGTTGGGTTGCCCATGATGGGTTGACCATCATAGGTTGACCATGGTTGGGTTGATCATGGTTGGGTTGACCATGGTTGGGTTGACCACCATTGGGTTGACCACCGTTGGGTCGACCATCATAGATTGATCATGGTTGCGTTGATCACGGTTGGGTTGACCGTGGTTGGGTTGACCGTGGTTGGGTTGACCATGATTGGGTTGTCCATCATAGCTTGATCATGGTTGGGTTGACCATCATGAGTTGACCGCAGTTGGCTCGACCGCGGTTGTCTTGACCACGGCGACACCGGGGGCCTCCTTGGCGCCGCGGTGGCTCGCGGTGGCCGCGGGGACGTCCCCAGCTCGACGTCGTCCCCCAGGTACGCCAGCCTGTACTTCTGCTGCGCCATCGAGGGCCAGGACAACGAGCTGATCACGCTGGAGCTCATCCACCGCTACGTCGAGCTGCTGGACAAGTACTTCGGCAGCGTGAGTGGGGACACGGCCCGGGGACGCCCCGGGGACAGCCTGGGGACACCCTGGGGACATCCTGGGGTTATCAGGGACACCTCAGGGACACCCCGGGGACACCTTGGGGACATCAGGAACACCTCAGGGTCATCAGGGACATCCCAGGGACATCCTAGGGTCATCAGGGACACCCTGGGGACATCCTGGGGTCATCCCGGGAACATCCTGGGGTTATCAGGGACACCTCAGGGTCATCAGGGACATCCTAGGGTCACCAGGGACATCCTGGGGGCATCCCGGGGTCATCAGGGACACCTCAGGGTCATCAGGGACGCCCCGGGGACATCAAGGACATCCCACAGACATCCTGGGGACACCCTGGGGACACCAGGGACACCTCAGGGTCATCAGGGACATCCTGGGGACATCCTGGGGTCACCGGGAACATCCTGGGGTTATCAGGGACACCCCGGGGACACCTTGGGGACATCAGGAACACCTCAGGGTCATCAGGGACATCCTGGGGACATCCTGGGGACATCTTGGGGTCATCAGGGACACCACCTCAGGGTCATCAGGGACATCCCATGGACATCCTGGGGTCACCAGGGACACCCTGGGGATACCCTGGGGACATCTTGGGGTCATCAGGGTCACCAGAAACATCTCAGGGACATCCTGGGGTCGCCCGAGGGACACCCCGGGGTCATCAGGGACACCCCAGGGCCACCCCAAACTCCTCCAGGAGCCCCTCGAGGCCACCAGGAGCCCTTTGGGGCCACCCCAAAGTTCTCCAGGAGCCCCTCAAGGCCACCAGGGCCACCCCAAGTGCCACCAGGAGCCCCTTGGGGCCACCCCAAAGTTCTCCAGGAGCCCCTCAAGGCCACCTGGGGCACCCCAAAATTCCCCAGGAGCCCCTCAAGGCCACCAGGAGCCCCTCAAGGCCACCTGGGGCACCCCAAAACTCTCCAGGAGCCCCTCAAGGCCACCCCAAAGTTCTCCAGGAGCCCCTCAAGGCCACCAAGAGCCTCCCAGTGTCCCCCAGCCCCGCTCCCCCCCCACGACCCGAGGGAGCCGGGATCCGGGGGTGTCCCCGCGTGTCCCCAAGCGCGCGGTGACGCCCCGGGCAGGTGTGCGAGCTGGACATCATCTTCAACTTCGAGAAGGCCTACTTCATCCTGGACGAGTTCGTGATGGGCGGCGAGATCCAGGACACCTCCAAGAAGAGCGTGCTCAAGGCCATCGAGCAGGCCGACCTGCTGCAGGAGGTGGGGACACCCCGAAAATCCACCGGGAGGGGCTGGGGGACCCCAAAAGTCCTGGGGGGAGCTTGTGGGGTCATCATGGATCCAAAAAATCCATGGAGGTTCTTGTAGGGTCATGGTGGCCCCAAAAAATCCATGGGGAGAGCCATGGTGACCCCAGAAATCCATGGAGGTTCTTGTAGGGTCATGGTGACCCCAGAATCCATGGGGAGTTGCTGCAGGAGGTGGGGACACCCCGAAAACCCACCGGGAGGGGCTGGGGGACCCCAAAAAATCCATGGAGGGTCTTGTAGGGTCATGGTGGCCCCAAAAATCTCCTGTGGAGCATCCAAGGGGTCATGGTGACCCCAAAAAATCCATGGAGGGTCTTGTAGGGTCATGGTGGCCCCAAAAAATCCATGGGGAGAGCCATGGGGACCCCAGAAATCCATGGAGGTTCTTGTAGGGTCATGGTGACCCCAGAATCCATGGGGAGTTGCTGCAGGAGGTGGGGAGACCCCGAAAACCCACCGGGAGGGGCTGGGGGACCCCAAAAAATCCATGGAGGGTCTTGTAGGGTCATGGTGGCCCCAAAAAATCCATGGGGAGAGCCATGGGGACCCCAGAAATCCATGGAGGTTCTTGTAGGGTCATGGTGGCCCCAAAAATCTCCTGTGGAGCATCCAAGGGGTCATGGTGACCCCAAAAAATCCATGGAGGGTCTTGTAGGGTCTTGTGGGGTCATGGTGGCCCCAAAAATCCATGGGAGAGTCATGGTGAACCCAAAAATCCATGGAGGTTCTTGTAGGGTCATGGTGGCCCCAAAAATCTCCTGTGGAGCATCCAAGGGGTCATGGTGAACCCAAAAAATCCATGGAGGGTCTTGTAGGGTCATGGTGGCCCCAAAATCCATGGGAGAGTCATGATGACCCCAAAAAATCCATGGGGAGAGTCATGGTGAACCCAAGAATCCATGTGGAGCTGCTGCAGGAGGTGGGGACACCCCAAAAACCCACCGGGAGGGGCTGGGGGACCCCAAAAAATCCATGGAGGGTCTTGTAGGGTCATGGTGGCCCCAGAAATCTCCTGTGGAACATCCAAGGGGTCGTGGTGGCCCCAGAAATCCATGGAGGTTCTTGTAGGGTCATGGTGGCCCCAGAAATCTCCTGTGGAACATCCAAGGGGTCATGGTGACCCCAAAAATCCATGGGAGAGTCATGGTGACCCCAAAAAATCCATGGAGGTTTTTGTAGGGTCGTGGTGACCCCAAAAATCTCCTGTGGAACATCCAATCATGGTGGCCCCAGAAATCTCCTGTGGAACATCCAAGGGGTCGTGGTGGCCCCAGAAATCCATGGAGGTTCTTGTAGGGTCATGGTGGCCCCAAAATCCATGTGGAGCTGCTGCAGGAGGTGGGGACACCCCAAAAATCCACCGGGAGGGGCTGAGGGACCCCAAAAATCCTGGGAGGAGATTGTGGGGTCATGGTGACCCCAAAAATCCATGGGAGAGTCATGGTGACCCCAAAAAATCCATGGAGATTCTTCTAGGGTCATGGTGACCCCAAAAAACTCTTCTGGACCATCCATGGGGTCATGGTGACCCCAAAAATCCATGGGGAGGGGGATGTGGAGCCCCCAAATTGGGACAGAGCCCCCCCAAACTGGTTTGAACCCCCCAAACTGGGATTGACACCCCCAAACTGGTCTGGATCCCCCCAAACTGGGGCAGAGGGGGTCATGGTGACCCCAAAAATCCATGGGAGAGTCATGGTGACCCCAAGAAATCCATGGAGGTTCTTGTGGGGTCTTGGTGACCCCAAAAAATCCATGGAGGTTCTTGTGGGGTCATGGTGGCCCCAAAAATCTTTTAGGGATCATTCAAGGGGTGGTGGGGACCCCAAAATCCATGGGGATGGGGACGTGGACTCCCCCAAACTGGTCTGAACCCCCCCCAAACTGGGACAGAGCCCCCCCAAACTGGTCTGAACCCCCCCAG